ACACCCTAACCGCCGAGCTATCCCAGTGCACGCGAGTTGTGAGCCTAACAATTGATGTCCGGTAATATGAGTCGACTTAGCCCAAGTTGCATTGACCCTTTGCAGTAGAAGGATGAAAAATGCACAAAGCTTACACACAAAGCTTATCCAGACTCATTTACTTATTTTAGTCCACTTTTAGCTCTTCAAACGGGCTTCAAGGCTTCAAGGTCCATCGGGATGAAATTTGCTTCATTAATACGAATAATTACATTAAATCAGTGGGTCCGTTAATAAGCTTGTCTACGTGTACATGTTTTTTGCTTCCCAAATACGATTGTCCTTCTCTGGTGGACGTGTAGAGAGAGATAAACCCGCAAGAGAAACCAAACCAACCGTTCCTTTAAAAATTCTCACAAGAGTGAAATCTTGATCAAGAAACGCCAACTTCGGTAGACCCCCGACGGCGGTCTCGCCAAATGCCAAAAAAGGTAGGGCTGTTTCGAACCTATCGGAATTTCAAATCTTTCAACATCACTGAAGTACCAGGACATTGTTGCAGATACTTTAAGTTGTCGAGCGCGGAATCGCAACCGGTTGTGAAGCATTGACAACAACAATTAGTCCCAAATCGGACACCATCTATAGAATGAAACACATTATGGGAAATCAAGTGAAGTTTCTATCCAGTTTCAAAATGCTGAACAACCGGCAGCTGGGGCCATGGACTACTTTTCGAAGTACAGTTTAGCACAAAACCATATTTATTTTTTCTCAAACACAACCAGGTGGTTGGCTGCTCGTCGTAAATTGGACTTGAAAAGCCATCTAGTCATTGTGAAATTTTGTCAACCGATGCGCGTTAATTTCTTCCGAAGAAAGCCAACAGGATAGAGGATTTGCTGAGATATAACATCACACCTCAAGCTCCAGAAGCGGAGATATTATAAAGCATTATGATAAACGGGGGCCTGGATTAACGTTTTTTGTTAATTTCAAGCAATTACACATGATGGTGTTGAATAACTGAGTCCAAATAGATTCTTTAAAACTCATTCGGGCGAAACATGTTACTCGGAAGACACTAGCAACCTTATTGTAGCGCAGTGTCTGAAAGGATAAAAGCCCATTACTGTAACTGGTAAGAAAAGGCGCTGTCGCAGGCAGGTAGTTGAAACTATTATGATCTTTTGTATGGAAGGTCCAAAGTAGTTGAAGACCGGATACGAACTCTCAGACACAAATCTGTTGCACTGGTTACACTTGCTACAGCAGTGCTCAGAATTCATTTCAACCGGGTGACATTAGGCTGTCTGCTGGTTTCAAATGCTGAACACCACTACAGGACTAAACCAATAACTCGCAGAATAATGTGAGTACTTAAGCTCTCTTGAATTCAGCACACCAAGCGCCATAGTACTAGACTGATAAGAAAGGTTCGAATAAGCTATATGACAGTAAATTTACGAAACGCAAACGTAGTTTTGTACTCTACTTTCATGTTTGTCTATGTGGTTTTTACACTTGCCAGTGCTCAGAATTCATTGCAACCGGGTGACATTAGACTGTTTGCTGGTTTCAAAGGCTGAACACCACTACAGGACTAAATCAATAACTCACAGAATAATGTGAGTATTTAAGCTTTCTTGAATTCAGCACACCAAGCACCATAGTACTAGACTGATAAGAAAGATTCGAAGAACCTATTTGACAGTAAATTTACAAGACGCAAACATAGTTTTGTGCTCTACTTTCATGTTTGTCTATGTGGTTTGGAATTCAGCACACCAAGCGCCATAGTACTAGACTGATAAGAAAGGTTCGAATAAGCTATATGACAGTAAATTTACGAAACGCAAACGTAGTTTTGTACTCTACTTTCATGTTTGTCTATGTGGTTTGTTTGCCACTTTCGATCCGTTTTACAAGCAAGGAGAGCGAAACACGCGTGCATTCACTGTATTTAATGGCCGCAAATAGTAGCGTTGTCAGATATCCGCACAGTTAGGCTTTGCGTTATTAAATATCCAGCTTCTAGAATGGGTAGTGAATACATCAAGAGGCCTCAGAGTTGATAGATATTGAAGATATTACTAAGCTTGTCGGAACTCTCCAATTCGCTGGATAAACGGGTTCGATTTACTGGAGGTTTATGTCGTAACAAGCAAAATTTCTGTAATCCAATATGAGTCTAGTTCTGCTTCAACACGACGATCTCTTTTTCAAAAAAGTCTACAAACTAAAAAAATCTAGCAAGCAAATCATCTGTTACACAGAAAGTACAAAGAATTCGATTGACTTTGTTTTACAAACTGTCATTTTGCAGCGTATTCAAGCCTTATTTCTAATAGGCTGGGAGATGAATACATCATTTTTGTAGCTGGGAGGGGTGATGTGTGATCTCGGCACACCCCATTGGTACACTGTGTGAATTACCGTTTTCTCGCGTCGTGATTAGCGATGTCAGACCCTAAGTAGCGTTACTGGTTGGATGACGCCACCGCCTAGTAGATACAAATATTGCGACAGTCCTAACATCAATGAGTTATCATACCTGGTGAAGGGCCTATACACAATGTTGCTTCAGATGTGCATTTTTCCGGAAATCCTCATAGTGAATATTTTTTGGGTTCATTCTGGTGAAGCAACCATGTGGGCCAAACTTTGCTGCAGGCCTCCCCATCATGAACACGTAAACCGAGCAGCGTTGGCGATCGCATGCACTGGACAGCTTGGCACGTGCTCGAGGCATCACGTGCGAGCACCGCGAGGTGCCTTCGAAATCAAGTTAGACTGGGACGGTTGGGACACCGCAACACATAATTTAGTGATTTTCTCGTTCCCCCCCCCCCCCCACTGGTATCCCTCTTTTGGTTAGCTAGTCAAATGCATCAGTTGGTGTGACTTAGCACACGTGATTATAAAACACAATTGAATCGCGCTTGATTACTTCTCAGAATGAAAATTTCACCCCGCAGAGAAAAGCAGCATCAGGCGAACGTTAAAAGCTGTCACGGATTATGATACACAGTCAGTTCAAGTTCAGAGATCACACAAGTTTGTCTTGGACGCAAAGTTATGGGTTAGCAGTCGGATTTTAATCGCCTCTGCGACCGATAGTAGTCTGAATCGTACCAGTCGTGATCAGTTCAGAAGTACCCGGTATGTGATATCGAAAGATTGCTCTTTGTCGATGACACGACTGGTTTCGGCCAGATGTGAAACAATTGCACAGTGATCATTTCATGTTTCAGTTGGTTCGATATATTCGAGATATTGCAGTACATTGCCGAGAGAGAACATTCTTCCCACCAGGCTGGTGGAAACTCCTCCACATCATTCAATCGATTTCAACCATTTAGGCCTCATCGGGTAGGCACATTTATCAATTTTTCGTACATTTTTTGAACGACTTGAACCCGAATTAGTCAAGGTTTGGGAAATACACTCATTTGCAAACTAATCTGGTGTTAAGGGGAGACTCAACTGAATTCCAATTGGAACTTTCGTATATGATATTAGTGAGACAAAAGGACTGGATCCGACAAGTAAAGATGTTATTTTTGTCCTTTATTGATACAATCGTGGAGAAAAACGTATTGCACTGAAAGAACATTTACTAAAATCAAGCAGCTAGGTCAAGCAGAACTCTACTGAAATGGAGGCTTCTTCCGTTACCTGATTCTTGTTGATGAAGTGCTCCATCGATTTACTCAAGTGCTTCGTCCGGGAGAAAAATCATCCCGTTTTCCCCACTACAGCACCGCCCTTCGGTTACGGTTTTATAAGCCGTTGCGTCGTGTTAGGAATTATTCATCTGAATTGGATCGAGGTCCAGAAACTGAAAACCTTGAAGCACTGAGAGACTATTCCGTGGCCGTTGAGTACCTCTGCATAGTTCAGTACTTCTCCTGGTTCTCAGGCTACCTACGCTTTCTCTGTCATAGCCCGAGGAGAGCTTGGAATTCCGAAACCACAGGACACAAAGTGTACAAATTCTTAGACGAACAGCTTACTCGGTAAGAGAAGGCATCCCCTAGAAGGCCGTAACAGTCATTGAGGTGTCCAACGGCAGTCTATGCCCTCTTTTTAGAAATAGCTTCAGGAACCGGATAAAATGGCGCAAAATTTGCACACATAGAAGCGAATGTCAGTATCGACCTGCACTATCCCAATTCCAGTTGTACGCTAAGCATAAGAGATGGTTTGGCAGAGAATTCAATGAAAATATAATTGGTCATCATTACAAACACTATTCTGTTCACTTAAACTTGTTGTTACGACTATGTGTATCGCGTCGCCAAGCATGGAAACTAGCAGTACACTGCTATCCCCAACTGGAAAAAATCAATGTTAATGGGCTGTTGCCTGCATAAGGTGGTCTTTTTGAATGCTGTTATTGAGTGAACTTTCTCCAAAGGTCATTTGTGATACAATCATCCGCCAAAATGTGGTCGTAAAATGCCCTATATATGGATGCTGATGTCGTGACTTGGATGGGGTTCGACTAGACTTCTTCGGTTCAAGGTAAGCTGAAGTATAAAAAAATGTCATCTGGAACCTTTGCTCCCATCCAATAGCTTGGTTTGATCTTTCAGTACAACTCCAAGCTTTGAAACATGCTGAGTTAAAATTTATTCCTGTGGTCACAAGCATGTACCCAGAACGCTAATTCACCCTCGCACACGCTGGTCTAACTTCACTTCAAACAGTTCGCCACACTAAACTGACGTATGTCTGTGTGCCTGGCAAACTACTGTTCTTGATAAGCGGTGAACATCATGAATGTGTGGTATTTGTTAGTTACACCATAACATTAATTAATGAAACTCGCTCATTTCAAGTTTTGACCTCCGGTCCGCCGACCGACAGCCGGCACAACAGTCCGCTAATCGATCACGCCTCTCGTGCGCATCGACCATCAGGTGTCATCTGTGACTGTCCAATTGCAATCCCAGGTCAAACAACCAATCAGCGCAAGCATAGTAGCACGAATAAAGTGTGGTCCAAGCCGCATGTGCAGCACATCCATGTGCATGCGTTATGGGAGGGATATCCATACCTGATGCGCGCGGTCCGGTGATGCTAAACTTATTCATGTGTGTAATTGTGCTGGCTCCCAATGTCCTGTGCCATGGTAGCGAGTCAAAATCTAATTACGTGTATTCATACTCAGTCAACATATCTGAGGAATCGAAGCCGGATATCCCCCTTAAAACCCTGTTCGGACAGGTTTTGGTTGTGCCGTATGTTTACAGCAGACCTCATCCTCACATAAGTTTTGTACTTGCCGGTGAAAAACTACTGCATATACGCATGACGCTGAAGGATGGCATCGATAACAGTGAAAAGGTGCGTCTGGAAGCGGTGGCGGAGTTCGATGCAGAAGGGATGTTAAAGCAGCTCCATGTTCCTGAAAATCTTGCCACAAAAACAAGTGAATTCAGTTTGTTCAAGGGGATGGTCAACCTATTTGTTGTTCACCCAAATTTCGAATCTGGTTTTGAGACCGGAGCTGCAGGAACATGTCGCGTTTCCTACGCTACCGTTCAAACTAGTTCCAGCGAATATTTGTCGGTGGACAAATTATTTTCCACCTGCTCGCCGGTACAGAAACCGCTAGACACATGGCGGTACAGCCTTATTCCTACTTCAAAGGTGCATAGTACAAGGGAACTGAGAGTACGCTATCGTTTTCATGCACACAAAGGTGATTTACTTCAAGCTATCGCATACGAAAAGCAGACCTATGATTCAGTTTCTGGGACAAATTTGAATCAGCTAAACATCGTAGCTTGGCAAGATCTACAGCTTGTTAAAGTAGCCGATGGAGAACCCGAAAACATCCCTCCAACAATGGACCTCAATGAGGTAAGTCATTTCAACTTTAAATGCCTGTTTTTTCCAACACTGTTGCATGAGTCGTCTCAATATCAAGAGTTTTCGCAACCATCAGTGCACTCTCTCATCTTCTGTTTTCTGACTGTTCCGGAATGCGAGCTTTCTTACGTGAATTCAGTACAGTATTCATGAGAAAGCCACAGGATTTTACTACATCCTAACTTGATATCGAAATTCTGCGTGAATGAATCAGATGTTTGCTTCTTATTACTCATTAGCTCTGTGCATAATGAATCATTGATACCCTGTTCCATTGATTACTAAACAACGGGTAAAACACATTAAATGGAAGACTGGTTTCAGTTTCTACGGTCCCTTTCCATGAGTATATAGACGTATTCGCAACGGCTGAACTACGCGCGTGAACTCTGGTTAAATCAGTCGAAACGAGAACCCAACATACCGATACAGGCGTCTCGGACACATACCCGGGTTGAAGTTGCGGGCTGGAGAACCGACCAGTAGAACAAGTCCAGACAGGGAGCTCTTTCCTTTCCCTTATGTTTCTCCTCTGAATTTACTCCATCTTTCTGATGAGCCGATCGGTTGTTGTTCAGGTGGTTACGGATCTGTTGACCGAGCTTGGGAATGCCTTACTGTGTCCCAGGGGCTGGCAGAGGGCTTAGCGTCTTACAAATCAACTGACACGTGATCTACAACGAACAGACGCACCCGAGCTACCAGTGCTCGGGCGTCTTGCCAGATAAGTAAATGAATTGTTCATGCATGGGATTAGACACCCAATTAAAGTTTAAAATGATACTCATAAAGGAATCACATGAAACTCGCTTGAATTCCTCGTCTATGATAGTTTAACTCCACCTACGCTCAACTTGGCGTTTAAGTAAGAAAAATAATTGTAGTGGAGACTGGAGCCTGGCGTAAGAGCACCGAACTGAGTGAAACCGAAGACTTTTCATCCAATTAATCCCGCTTTGTAAAACTTGACTCCACTGAGCCAGGAGAACCAGCATCACCAACTACACTACGGTCTACTGATGCGTCTATGAAGTTAGGCACCATCACTGTCATTGTACTGAATGCGTGTTAATGTGCGAAATGTTCACGTTTTTGTCTGCAATTTTGTCAGTTATGTATTTACAACCAGGGGTGGGTTGTGGATACGGTTCGATTTGTTTAATTGGTGAACTCGCATCCACTAAAATGAGGCGGGCGGCATGAAGAAGTAAGGGATAGTCTAATTTCAAAGGTAGGTTTGCTAGTGAATTGCAAACGCGGTTCGGAATTGAAAACTTTGACCGTATTAGAAAGTAACTGATTGCACAGAAGGTCGTTCCGGGAATGCGTTCTTGAAAGCTCCGCGATCTACACGATTTCCAAAACGTTTAAGCCACACTAATGCAAGTCGTAGTTGGTCGTACCACGTACAAGAGGTATGGCTGGCGTCCATATCCAATTTTCTTGGGTGCACAGAATGTATTCAACCTCCGGACAGAGCCTATTGTTCAACCAAACTACATATATTTGTCCGTGTGTTAATCACCTGATGGTGAGCCGCATTCCCATTCAACACGGCTCCTGTGCCCTCAAGAATGATCTTGAGTTCTGCCGGGCTTCGCCTGTTGTGCTCAGCTCCAAACAGGATCTACATCTTGTTTTGATGATTCGGTAGACCGGTTAGCTGAAGACAACAAATCAAAGCATCGGGATGTGGCACATCTTCGATAATTAGCTTCTACGTAACCAAGAAAACATGGTGGCTGAACTGTTTCCAAATGCCCTCTAACTAACTGATGGTGGTGTGGGAAGATTCAGGAATCCTAAATTGAAGTTTGCTCCCGTAAGTGAAGCCATACTATACTGAAAATCCGGGAAGCACGGTACAGCTTGTTCATCCTTACTTGGAATCATCAGCAATGTGCATCTCGCGAAACTCCAGGGAGTTTCGAACCCACGATCTACTGGCCGGTTGTCTGGACACTTGACCGTTCAGCCACGAAAACTGATTAGCAGTGTGTTTAACTTGCACTTAAGGAAGTTATAGCGCCACTCATCGCTCAATCACATAAACCGCATCAAATGGCCACGTGTGACGACACTCTAACTGAACACATGTTTGAATGTCAGTGCTTCCAGATGAGGTTAATGCAATGGTGTGTAAGCCTCAGAGCTGCTTCCAACGGTTTAAATGGAGGTAACCTCTAATTAAATGGGAGATTTCGAGGCTATACTCACAGACTCCATAACAATATTTGGACTCCAGGAAGAAACACCACTACAGCTACCAACACCAGCACCAGTACTGTTACGAAAATAATATCGATTCTGATTGAGCGCGAGAACAAGAGTGAATAGCGTAGAATGGAAAGCGCTTTACTTGTCCAAGAATAGACGTACATAAGCTGAAAGTGAAGGCGAAAGCATGGTTAATACAAAACGATAATATGAGCACAAACAATATTCATGACAAGTACGGATTCCTTCCGCCCTACAGGGCACATTTGGATACTAGAGGGCTTGATGTGTCATTATCAGGGTTATGCGTGTTTTACGAAGCCCACAGAGATTAGATTTCATTCGTTATCGTAAGAAAGAAAGCTTTACTACATATGCTAAGATCAACCAGTAGGAAGACGATTAAGCTGCTGCAACTACAGATCCATTTTTCTACGTATAAATTTTCCATTTCTAAAATGTTGGAATTCCTAAAACGGAGTTCTGTAAATTCCGCGTTTTCAATCGCCTCGTATTTTTGGTCAAACGGTTGTGCTGTACTGCCGTTCAAACCCCTCATGTTATCCATTCTAGAGCCCGTTGTTGGCAACGGATTTACTCTTTGTGACCCTCAATTATTCAAACGGAGAATAGCGTCAAGACACAAACAGGATTTGTGGCAATGAGGGACTAAACTGAACCTCTTGCCCATGATTTACCCAACCAAATGGGCTGCATAAAGGCCACCTCAGAGTTCAGCCATTTAAAATTAGTGTTATGTGAAGTAACGACCCATCCATAGTTACAGTATTGTGCCCACTGCAGTGTCAGGTGGTCTTTGTGAAGTACATTGAATTGAAGCATATTATAGACGTGAGATTCACCTGTACTCTTCTTAGGCACAACAGTATGGATGAAAAAATAAAATACACATGTGTGGTGCGTGGGAAAGACCTCAATCGGATCACTTTGGTCTGAATGTGACTCACTAGTGACGTTATAACTAAGCCGACTACTATCGGTCCCTTCCTTCAGTTGTTGTTGCCTGTTAGGTGGCTCTTAGTTCTAGACCAACCATATGGGTATTGAAGGGACGGTAAGACATTGGTATGTGAGTTCGCGCAAGTCGATTTTAGGTCGGGCGATCTTGGCATATTTGGTTGATGATCACCAGGAATGTGAATTTCATCTCGTACTGGTTACATTTCGGCTTTGACAATGATTGAGTCCGAAATAAGATGTGAGGAGAACCACCGCACTATTTCATTGGTCTGTATGTAAATGTAAATGCAGCAAGCCACAATGATTCCATTTCCCTTCTCCCCCTGGACACTTCCAGAACACGAACACATGCGAATTTATTCAATATGCAATCCAGCGGGATTCTGCAAATCATGAAATGAGCAACACGCGTTCATATAGAACGAGAGAAAAAACACTCTTAAGCTATCGGAAACCCTTTGTGTAGCTAAATGTTACCAGCTTCTGGCTTGGTGTGGATGTGACGAAAAGTGCTCAATAACGTTGCTGACGCTGTTCTAGTATTATCTCATTTGAAGAGTACTTGAAGGATCACATTCGAACTCCCAGTGACTAGATTCTTCGTGGGATAGTGTGCTCGGTAGCTCGGTCGATGGAGCACTGGCCCAGTAAGACAGCAAATGGTGTTTCGGACTTGCCCGAAGGCGTGTCTTAGTGCTAGTATTCTCTGCCTTCCATTCAGAAGGCAGGTCTGTTTACGGGGCAACTTGAGATATTTTTGCAGCGGAAAGCTCGAAAGCACTTGTGGAGAAGCGCAAAGCTCCTCGACTACTCGTTTCTCATTCATGGGCAACAGTTTTCTACCAGACTCGGACGAATGGTATATTAGGTCCCATTCCCATTATTGTTTAGACAGAATTGTTAACTACCAAACTTGGCACGCATGCAGTGCTTCCTGTGGGCTCCCCCCAAACATCTGACTATCCATGCTGCTTCAACGTCCGTTTTTAACAGTTTTCTTATAGCGAAATTGAAACTGCCTGAAAGGATTGTGAGGCGGACAGACAGGACCAACGGATGTTCCTCTTGGTTTACGCTGTATGCCTTTCAAAGTGACCTTTTGACCCTATTCGTTCCCTAATCCATCAACTTTTTGTGGCTTGAACTTTTTGTGGTTTGTATTGCTCTACAATGATTCTAGACTCAGAGTTTAAGTATACCTTCTCAATTTCCCATCCCTTTCACTCAGATGGCCAAGCAGCTAACAGGTTCCGAGAACATGCCCGTGCACTTGGCTCCTGCATTCCCTCTCGAGCACGATTTGGAAGCATGTAGTCTGAACGTTCATCTGTACAACCCTGACGGCAATGGCAATGGTAAATTTATTACAATTGACCAACTGCGTAATGTTATCGAGAACGCTCGCAATGCATTACACTCAGAACGCTTGGGGACACTACAGCCACTGCATACGGTAGTGCAACTGACGCGATTCTTGCGATGTCTACCCAACCATCGTAGTGCCGTGGATCTCCTTACACTCGCCTCAATGCTTAGTCCCCCTGCTACCGAGGCGAAGATGCTATATCGACAGGGACGATCCTGGCGTGACCAACTGGTTAGTGTGCTGATTGGTTGTGGTACTCCAACTTGCGTTACGGTCGTTCTACAACGTTTGGAAGCGCTCACTGAAGTTGCTCTGGTTGAAAAGACTGAGACCAACGGTTTGCCTCAGGAGGTAGTAATTGCTCGTGAAATGTTGTTTTCAAAACTGTGGCCAGCACTGACCCACCTACGCCAACCGACATCTCATACGTACGTAAGATTGTTAAAATGTTGCCAACCAGTTTCTGATTGGTCACACCAAACTGTTTGTTTGAGCACGCTACTCAATCTGTGGCCACAGTTGTATGAAGAACACTTGGAGTTACGAAATGAACTCATTGGGATCACAGAAAAGCAGCTACTGATAAGTTCACCTAATACGGTAAAGCAGCAAGAGGAGGACCGTTACAAGCTTAATTCGAGGCTCCTGTTCGGTCTGATGGCGACGGAGAAACTGAAGGCCATTGAACTATTTGATTTGGTTCTACAAATAGTAACGAATTCGGAACATATCTACCCTCCCGTGCGTGCAGCTGCTGTGCGCACACTCGCCTCAATTTGGACAGCGGATAAGGATATAAAGTTCTCAAATGCATTCAGATCCAACATCAGAACAACCAACGTACGCTCATTATTGAGGGATCAGTTATTAAGTATCCCATCAGACTCGGAAGATGACCTACTTTTAGGTATAGAGTTATTTAATGCATTGGTTACCCTTGATCCCTGCGCGCACATGATCAGTGACCTACTGAGGCAGTTGAGCAGCCAGAAGCGCTGGCCTCTTGTTCGCGCTTGTCGTCTACTGGTGAGGCAGAGCTGTGTCGCGGAGCAACTTTCAGCATCGGTTTGTAACTGTCTGGGAGAGAACGTTTCTGTGGGTTCCGGCGAATTCCAATCTTGTTTACTTGGCTATGCTGGTGGTTGGGCTGGCCTTGCAGGTGGTAACGGATCCGACGTTGGATATAATACTTTCGTTCATGGGGACTTGTTCAATGTGAATGGCTCTTTCATTGTTGAGTACTTAATACATTTGGTCAATGGCCCAGACAAAGAGCTTCGGAAGTTTAACTTGTTAATTTCTCTTCTGAATGCAGAGGGTGAAAGTAAGTTATTTGAGTTCGATGTCAGCGCAAAAGGCCTGGAAACATTTGCAGGAAGCTTTGGTCTAGGGGTGCTTCCGAAGAAAACAGTTCAAAACGAGGGAGCCTGGGTTAGCCTCGGGCTCACCGAGTTCGATACCATTCTGCCTCCATGGTTGATCTTTTCGGGAGGTATGAGTGACCTACTTCATCTACTATGGCACGTTCCTTCCCACCCTACACCCGTCTTACAAATATTACGTCCACTGATTGACGAACGTCAGTATAGCGCATTTGCTGCAGGATTTGTGCTTGGTTTGGATGCACTTGCTGTAGTATCCGTTGAGGTGTCCGGTGCTATGGAAACCAGCGTGTGGTCTCAGTCGGGCCGTAGTTTGGTGCGCACCAGAATCGGTATGGCAGGCGAAGTATATGCTCGCATTTTAGGTAAATCCGAGGGCCTAACAGCAACTGATCCCCGCTTCGTTGTCAAAGGAGTTGGTGGTGAGGGAAACTTGGATTTTGTTTCACACATCAACGTTCGCGATTTGCCAGATGGAATTTGTCTTTCCATGAATCGGCCCTCTGATATGGAGTTACTTGTCTGGGAGAGCACAAAGCCGTCGGCTTCCTGTATACCATCCCAATGGAACCATTATGAGTACCGAGATCCAACTAATCATGCGGACTACACAGTGACCCACAGGGCAGTGAATCCCGGTGTCTCCTACGAGCTTGGCCGAAACAATACAGAGAGGTGCAACCAAATGTCTGTTTCTAGTTTGTGGTAAGATAACTTGGGCATTCCCAACGTTCTGTACACATAGGAGGTACATTGTGGTTATTTTCATTATTATTTTTCCGAAGCATATACCCAAATTCACTTGATCAGATGTAAACTGTACAGGTATGATTTAATGAAACATAGTTACTTTTATGTATTCTTGTGTTCCACTACGGATAAAGTCAGTTTGGTGTGAAGTGAAAGTACTTCCGCTTCTCTTATTAACAAGTCCCGGCAAACGCTTCACTCTGGTGTACTGATGTGATTACGACGGTGCGGAATGCGTCCGTTCGCCTATGCACTAATCGAATTTCACAGGCTCGAAAAGTCTTGGAAGTATCCAATTAAATGGCTTGCTGTCGTTCGCTTGTTCGCTGAGCTGAGCAATTTGTAGGCACAACCAATAACCCACCGCTACGCACCACTACGCTCCTCATCACCACTACGCACCTCATCTTCATCACCTCGACTGGTGATGAAACGTTTGCAATCGAATTGCCCAGCTCAGCGAACAAGCCAACAACCATCTACGCTACCTGAGCTACCAACATTTTCCTCTATATGGCTTGCTGTATTTACAATCGCTTTGCGGGCAGTGACTGTCACGGTAGCGGACCACTCTCTTCCGGCTTAAGTTTACGCATCTAGGATATCAGTTGATCCAACTCCGCGAAAAATCAGCTAGATAGATGCCCTTTTCTGTTAACTGTCTCCTTCGTTTTACCACCTACGTTACAATCACCGGTACGTAGTTTGAACCATTCCTATACCTACTGGTTTGTCAGTTGGTTGATTTGTTCTCCTAAGCCTACTCTATTCTAGGCTCTTGTCACAAGCTCGACAAAAATTTCTTGACAACAAAACTCACTTTGATATCTTGGATGTCGTTCCAGCTGAATCATGAGGGGTTTTGTGTCATACAGTCGGTTGGATGTCACGATAACCGACAGGTTCATTAAAGTTTATCTGCGTATGAGTGTTTAGATCTAGTCTAGGCTGTTTTCAGTCGATCGTAAAAAGTTTGGGACCAACGGAAAGGTCATCAACGATACCCCAGACCGATTTTCATTTCATGTTTACCTCTTTCTACCCGGCCAGTTTTGCATACCACGGCGCAACTGTCAACACTTTATTGGGCTTTGCCATCCATTTGAATCGAAGTTATTGAACCACAGCAGCACGTCTTATTCACGTGCTTGTCACTGGCAGCTGTGGCATCCAGTCGGGATGAAGGCATTTCAATCAGCTGGTTGATATGTTTGGGATACTGGAACAACAGTAAATCCTCTGGTGGGTAACTTGATCCAGTATTGTTTCTTATTGCGCAATTCACAGGAGAGAGACCAAACAAGTAAGCTTTGGGCGACGAATGAAGCTTCATTTGCTTTCACATAGCACTACAGTTTGTCACCCTCAACAAAGACGACCCCTGGGTACAGCTTCCAAGAATTGTGAACATCTCCCCGGATGGGGTATGAAAATATGGTGACTAAATTTGTAGCCTTTCAAATTTCCCATAATTCTACGCTGTATATTTAGCCACAATCAACCTGCCCGGGATACTGTAAACTGACAGAGATGTGCCGTGTCTAAGTTGAATAAAACGCGAGACCCAACAGTTAATTAGGCGGGTTAAAGTGTATTGTACAACGCTTCTCAACGGCAGTGATATCATCCTTCTGACGCAGAGGGAGACCTAATACTGCAAGAGAGGAACAATAAAATGAGTACGAACGGGAATGGAAATAATGTGATTTTTGTTGTGTTTTTCTTCAGCAACTAGCACAGCTCGGTTGAATTTAACACTAGCCTTATGGACCTAGGAGGTAAACTCTCAGCATTGAACTCGTATGTACTGGTCGTATGAAACTGGGTATAAACTCGGTAAAATAGTGTCAGTGTAGTCTAGAAGTAAACAATAGAACGTGATAATAGCGTAATACGCATTGCGTCAGGGTTCACAAGATAACTAGCCACGTATGGAATGCCATAATTCGGGTACGTGGTGGTTTTCGTGGTTAGACGTTAAAACTTGGACTGAAGGCAAGATGTCTGTGTGGCCTGAGGTAAACTAGCTGAAGAAAGTGTTGATCACCTGATAATTTTCCTTGCCGAACTTATTGTAGGCGTCAATGTACTTGTTGGCCAGGAAGCTGGCTAAAGCACTTCAATTCGAGACGTGTCTCAGTGACTTAATTGTAGGAAGTAAACTTTTTCCGTAGGCCATGGAACATGACAGGGATCGGTACATCCAGCGGGAAGAACGCATTCAGTTTTAAAGGAACGGGTAAGGCTGTCAATCTGAAAGCTCAAAAAGAAAGTCGACTGGATGCAAGGCAGTCTCATTCAGAAAAAAATTCAATTGTTGGTTGTACACAAAGGAGATACGTGATTCTACCAGTTGACTAGCTGGCCACATAGGCGCTAAACCCAGTTCGAACTCTTATGCCAGTGGCCAGGATCATTGTCCGGATTGAATTCGACAATTTTGCTGACGCCTTGTAGATATATGTATCCATTAAGTGGGTCTACACGAAAGTGTTAATAGTACGCTGTTGTCCCTTTTGAAAGCCAGTTGGAGTATGTTCAGGCATTCGTTTCAACAGTTGTCCCCCTGTTCGATTCGTAGAAAGCAGGGAAATTTGCACGTAGAGAGTCTGACGGGGCAGTTTGTCTCTCATTCCTTGTCTGGCTAATGGAGAGCCTGTATAAAGCAAACCACCGGACTGTCTAAAACAGTTAGAACATTAGAGTACTAACAGTTTATTAGCTAAAGTAATCCCGAAGCACTCAACATCAGTTGTTTTCGGGAGGCAATCTATCAACAAGATCCTCAGTGGTCTCACCTGGAGAGGGAGAAAGAATAACATCTAGGCGTCTTGAAACATTAAAGAAAGTGTTGCGTCCCCTAGGTCGCACAAATTCATTCAGTCCGCTTTATGATTACGTTATCTTCTGAACTGCGGCAGTCATAGCTAATCACACCATCGTTGACATACTTACACCGTTAGAAAGAGTCCAAAACAGGAACGTCACGAATGGGAAAGAAGGGACAGAAACATCCTGTGAAATGCCGGTTTGGTTTGGTAGTGACGATTAATTTTGGTTGTCCAAACAAGAGGGTTGTTAAGGTCAACAAAATAGGCATGCACAACTTTGATCAAGGATTGTTTTTTACATCCACTGGTGAGAAGCTGTGGCAGCAGACTTCAGCTCAAGCTGCTGTGCGCATCCACCCGCGCCTACTGATGCTGTCTTTTTTATCTGAGATGATGAGATGTCTGCGAATTAACTGCCACCTGATCAGAAACCAGGTAATTATTTCGGCTGAAGGAACTCAGCATGCTAGGTGAGTTCATGCACCGGAATACTGGATGCAGTGTAGGCTTTTTAATTAGGTAGTGGAATTCGCATTCCAAGACCAGATAGCTCACATATCACGAAGAGAATTCAGAAGGATGTTTACGCAACACCCCTGCCTGTGGACGTACCTGACGACGAAACTACCGCGGAATTTGGCCGGGTGATCAACAACAAACAAATGACACTCATCAAGTATAATGATATTAATACCAAGGTGTGAAACCAGCTTCCTTGGGGCAAAACACTTACATAATTCTGAAACCGTCTTTGAGATGGAAGTTTCAATAGGTTCATAAATTCACCTAATAACCGCCTGGTGTTGCCGGATACGATTGGTGGACTGACACTCAGCTAGCCTAATGCTTTGTTTGCTTTCCTCACTGTGCAAGAAAGATGCACTTCCACGTATATCGATCATCGTTGTAGTCATACCTCGTCAGTGGGTGATAACTAAGAAAAATCATTTTATCTCAACCATGTGTGGCAGAAACGACCTTGAAAAACGTCAAAATTATGACGTGTGTGACAATTCGGGTATCATCCAGCTAGTCGTTTTTATAACCACAAAAAGTACCATCCGTACGCATTTCGCTTAATTCGATAGATCTGGAGTAGATCAGGAGTACAATCATCGCCGCACCCAGGCCTTCTTTCTTAAACTGGCTGGGTGAGGGCTCTGCACAAATGACAACTGATATACGATTGTCATGTAGTCTTGATTCCACTGTGTCTTCAAAATCCAAGCATTTTGCTCAGTTTCGCGACCATCCCGTCCATTGGTCGCATTTGTCGCTCGAAAATGCTAGCTGGCGCATGCATCACTACATGGAACATGACGGATGTCTCTCTCCTCTGATATATAGGTACGACAGGCAAATGAAGAACATAAGCTCAGTTCCCCTGTCCTGCAGGTACGACACGCTACAGCTGAGTTAGGCAAACAGGTGGATCCGATCGTGTGAATATGGGCTGGACAGAACAGCCGAGCTACATAGGGCAGAATGCTGTGAGCGCGCACCGACAGACACATGTGGGGAGCGAAATGCCAGCTTTCTCTATGGCTGGGAGAAAAGTCCCCTCGAAACTGTAAGTGCGGATAAGCAGCGCGAGTCAAACAACTTTGTCGATTGCAATTCCAAAGAGATTATTGATTAGGCCAAAGCATAATTCAGCGATAAACATGGGTGTTTCACTTTACTCTCCCCAGAAAATTTTAAGTGCGTTTCGCTAACGTCAAAGAATAATTAACGGTAGTTTGTGAAAACAGCAAAACAAACAGCTATTGGTTAATTTCACTGAATTACACGAAGATTATCCTAATGTGATTTGCTAAATGAAGAAAGAGGTGAAGAATTTGTCTTGAAACACTGCGTGGCCAAAAATGAATTATGGACTGCAAACATATTTGATTTTGCGGGCAGACTCACATGGAGCCCAGGTGAATCTCCCGCTTATGATGCTTTCCGCTAAAGAAATGTGTTGCCTCATGTTCCAGTTGGTGCGATATTCGAGATATCGCGATACATGTAGAGACATAATACGCTACTCATAAGGTTGCTAGAACTCCTTCGACAGCCCACATTAAGTTGCTTGAAAATATCATAAACTAGAGATTCATTTGGGTTCCAAGTGAGTCTCCCGGTTTAGGTTCAGTGTAATGTAGAGGAGAGGAGGCCAGGTTAGCTATTTTCGGTCGCCCGTCAGACCTAGTTTTACGTGAGGCTAAATACCGGGACAGTAGCCCAATAGCCTTCTGTTGGTCACTCAGCTACACGAAACTGATTGTGCCATCTACCTACGGCTGTGGGATTGCATGGCCACCAAGCAGTTTTTTCGTAGGATAAAGCTGAAAACAGTGGAACAGAACGCTGCTTGAGAACGAGAAGAGCTCATGGGTTTTCCTTCGGATGAGTTTTGTATTGTGTTGGGCCCTTTATAGGTAAGGATTGAACCCAAACCAAAAATGCGGTTTGGTTGAGTTTGAAATGTAAATTAAATTCTGATTTATTTATATCCACAGCCACAACCCACGTGGAAAATACAGACCATTTTTTCCTACTCACCAGTCTGTGGATACTACAGCTAGGATTCGTCCACTTTGTTTTAGTTTTAACATTATATGGTGATGTGCTGGTAAGAAAGCCTGGGTGCACTGACCTCTGAACTCTCTTCGACTTCTCAGACAATCAAGCAAGTCGAGAATTCACCCATCGTTGTGCCAAGTGTCTTAGTCTTCCTCGCATCTCAAGCGTTTCGATTTTTCAGGAACTTATTCCACGGTCTCAGTGTGTACCAGTCTAACATTAGGCGAATGCTAGTGTTCACGACGTTGAATCGCCGCCCGGTAGCCTTTGCGCTGTATCCACACCCATTGAGGAGGGAAAAAATACTCAAGCATTGTTCGATAGCCCACTGGCCTGATTCACCCATCGGAGGTACCTGGTTTTCATTGCTCCGGCAACAGAGAGGCAGCCGTGAATTCCTCGCACTGCCCCACCTATCGATCGTCCGCACACGCTAACCCGGATGCCCAGTCAGCTTGTGGATAATGGAAAGTCTCATCAGAGCCCAACTAGCCTGGCGTCTATGCTAGCCTGAGTGAGTGAGTCCTATCGAAGAACGGTTGGTTCCGCCACGTGACCACAAACACAAGGACTCATTCGTCGCGCCGTTTTTTTTCACGTACATTCCGGCACCCTGTGTGTACCACCTCGTACCAACGGTTTATTTTGTTTGATGAAAACCAATCAGTGAACCATGAGTAGTAGCAGTGCCTACCCTTGAAGTATTCCTGAGGTTGAAGAGACTAACCATGCTACCGGTTGGGTTGTTATTCTTCCTATCGAAGGTTGGTTCCGCCACGTGACCACAAACACAAGGACTCATTCGTCGCGCCGTTTTTTTCACGTACATTCCGGCACCCTGTGTGTACCACCTCGTACCAACGGTTTATTTTGTTTGATGAAAACCAATCAGTGAACCATGAGTAGTAGCAGTGCCTACCCTTGAAGTATTCCT